TCTAAAGTGATGCCGATCACCTTGTTTAATTTAACTCCAAATGGAAAAGTAAAATGTATTACAGCACACAAATGGTGTCTAAAATATAACATTTCTGTCTTTAGTCAGTGAATTTAAAATCAGGCGATTTGTTTGCAACTTCAGCACGATTTCAGGTGCAATTTCTGAAGACTTTATTGCTACTTAAGAAGATTTTCAATGATTTCTTGCAATTTGCAGTGTGATTTCAATTATATTCTATGTATGTGAAATCACAACAAAACTGCAGAAAAAGTAATGCAAGAACTACTTTAGAAATCACGCTGCAGCAAATCGCAAATGTTAAGACACTGACATTCACATTCATTAGATGTGATTTCACTTCAGTATGATCGGACACTTAACAAATACATGACAGCATGACTGGTCACCCAAAGCAATACAGACATCTTCATTTCACAAGCCTAAGGGTGATGATAATGTGACTGTTGCAGTATTTCTGGCTGGATCAGATCTCTTTAACCACTTGTCTACCAGGCACCCCTTCCTGTCCAGGCCAATTTTCAGCTTTCAGCGCAGTCACATTTTGAATGACAATAGCAAGGTCATGCAACACTGTACCCAAATTTTTATCATTTTTTTCACACAGAGCCATTTTTTTGGTGGTGGGGTTTTTATTTTTGCACTATAAACAAAAAAAAGCAAAACATTTGAAAAAAAATATGTTTTTCTTTGATTCTATTGTAAAATTTTACAAACAGGTAATTTTTCTTCTTCACTGATGTGCATTGATGAGGCTGCACTGATGGGCACCAGTGAGGTGGTAAGGATAGGTAGCACTGATGGACACTGATGAGGTGCACTGGTGGGCATTGATGAGGAGGCACCAGGGGCGGACTGACAACTCATAGGGTCCCCAGGCAATAGGGGATCATGGGGCCCCTGTGTCCTCGCCCACACTCAAACCACACCCAAAAAAGCCTATGAAAAAAGGTACCAGGGGCATCTCATGGGGCCACCTACTGACCCTGGGCCCTCGGGCACTGCCCAAGTGCCCAAATGGTCAGTCCGCCCCGATGATGCTGCACTGATGGTCACTGATAGGCGGCGCTGACTGATGGCACTGATGGGCGCAACTGCTGGGCAGCACTGATGGGTGACATCAGTGCTTATCTGCTCTGTGACAGCGTGAAGAAAGTGCTGCTGATAACCGGCAACTGTATTTACTCTGTGATCTTCTGTGTCATTGGACACAGCTGATCATGTGGTAAAAGGTTGCTGTGATTGGCCTTTTACCTCATCAAGTGATCAGTTGTGTCTATAGATCACAGTGATCACAGAGATCGCCGGGTGCACGCGCGTGCTCTGGGGAGGACGTCATATGACGCCCTCCCAGAACTGGACAACCACGCTGTGACGTCATTCAGCTATAGCACGGTTAGCAAGTGGTTAAATAAAATATTATATGGTAGGGACTGGAGAATGAAGTGATGATATAGTACTTACAATACATCTATTTTACACACAGAACTGATGCTGAAGTCACGGAGATCGCCGGGTGCGCGCCGCTGGGAGCGCGTATCTGGGAGGACGTCATATGACGCCCTCCCAGAACTGGACAACCACGCTGTAGCCGTCATTCAGCTATAGCTCGGTTAGCAAGTGGTTAAATAAAATATTATAAGGTAGGGACTGGAGAATGAAGTGATGATATAGTACTTACAATTCATCTATTTTACACACAACACACTTCTCACCTTACTGATGCTGAAGTTATTATTGTCGAAGTGCAGCCGATGGAGGAAGAGGCGAGAGGCGAGAAGCGGTGGCGTAGGACAGCCATGACCCACAGCGGGAGATACAGCTACATCGTATACTTTCAGATCCCTAAACAGAGATAGCAAATAATAGGTGAGTCCATCTTCATCCAGTTTCAACCAAAACAGCTGTGAAAGTAAATATAAAGAGGTTCCCTGACAGATGACATTTATACATGAAGGGGCTGTCTGCAGGTTTGCACCCCTCAAAAACTGCCCCCCCCCCCCCCCCCCCCCCACATATATAAAATACACCAAATTTAAGCAGTTCTGTATTCTTTAATGCATCAATGAATGTATTTTTTTCTAAATGTAAGTAGTGTCTGAATTTGCCCCTTGAAGTCCCTGACTGGGAGAGGGAAGAGCAGCACAGACAGCCAATCAGTTGTGCTGCAGTGCTCATGTGACAAGAAGTGACATGCTGACAGGAGGAGGAAGCAAAGTGACAGATGAGCCCAGCAGTTTGCTGCTTTTCCTGTCACTATCCAATCATTGTGCGGGCATTGTCAGCGGGACAAAAAAAAAATGATTTAAATTGTTTTCATGTTTGTGCGCTGCCCTGCATGCCTCGGCTCAGTTGTGGAAAGAACGGGGCATGCAGAACAGTTCCTTAGCCCTGGTTCACACACATGCGATATCATCTGCATTTCCACGCACACGGATTCGCATGACAATCCAGATTACATCTGTTCCAAAGGAGGTGGTTTGCATACATGCAAGGCAATCACACTGCGTTCTGTGTGCGAGTTTGGAGCAGTCCATTTCCAATTCGCAGGCTATATTGTGTAATGACATTTGGAGCAGAGTGATCATATATGAGATGCGATTCAGATGTGTTTTTGAGTAGAAATGGATCAGAGGGTATTCTGCATAGAAGTGGATCAGAGGGTATTCTGCATAGAAGTGGATCAGAGGGTATTTCTGCATAGAAGTGGATCAGAGGGTTTTCTGCATAGAAGTGGATCAGAGGGTATTCTGCATAGAAGTGGATCAGAGGGTATTCTGCATAGAAGTGGATCAGAGGGTATTCTGCATAGAAGTGGATCAGAGGGTATTCTGCATAGAAGTATATCAGAGGTTTTCTGCATAGAAGTGGATCAGAGGGTATTCTGCATAGAAGTATATCAGAGGTTTTCTGCATAGAAGTGGATCAGAGGGTATTCTGCATAGAAGTGGATCAGAGGGTATTCTGCATAGAAGTGGATCAGAGGGTATTCTGCAAGAAGTGGATCAGAGGGTTTTCTGCATAGAAGTGGATCAAAGGTTTTCTGCATAGAAGTGGATCAAAGGGTTTTCTGCAAAAAGTGGATCAAAGGGTATTCTGCATAGAAGTGGATCAAAGGGTATTCTGCATAGAAGTGGATCAGAGGGTTTTCTGCATAGAAATGGATCAAAGGGTTTTCTGCCTAAAAAGTGGATCAAAGGGTTTTCTGCCCAAAAGTGGATCAAAGGGTTTTCTGCCCAAAAGTGGATCAAAGGGTTTTCTGCCTAAAAGTGGAACAATTTTCTGCATAAAATGGATCAGAGGGTATTCTGCAGAGAGTGGATCAGAGGGTATTCTGCAGAGAAGTGGATCAGAGGGTATTCTGCAGAGAAGTGGATCAGAGGGTATTCTGCAGAGAAGTGGATCAGAGGGTATTCTGCAGAGAAGTGGATCAGAGGGTATTCTGCATAGAAGTGGATCAGAGGTTTTCTGCATAGAAGTGGATCAGAAGGTATTCTGCATAGAAGTGGATCAGAAGGTTTTCTGCATAGAAGTGGATCAGAGGTTTTCTGCATAGAAGTGGATCAGAGGTTTTCTGCATAGAAGTGGATCAGAGGTTTTCTGCACAGAAGATTGGATCAGAGGGTATTCTGCATAGAAGTGGATCAGAGGGTATTCTGCATAGAAGTGGATCAGAGGTTTTCTGCGTAGAAGATTGGATCAGAGGTTTTCTGCATAGAATATTGGATCAAAGGGTTTTCTGCATAGAAATGGATCAGAGGGTTTCTGCAGAGAAGTGGATCAGAGGGTATTCTGCATAGAAGTGGATCAGAGGTTTTCTGCGTAGAAGATTGGATCAGAGGTTTTCTGCGTAGAAGATTGGATCAGAGGTTTTCTGCATAGAATATTGGATCAAAGGGTTTTCTGCATAGAAATGGATCAGAGGGTATTCTGCAGAGAAGTGGATCAGAGGGTATTCTGCATAGAAGTGGATCAGAGGGTGTTCTGCATAGAAGTGGATCAGAGGGTTTTCTGCATAGAAAGTGGATCAGAGGGTTTTCTGCCTAAAAGTGGATCAGAGGGTATTCTGTCTAAAAGTGGATCAGAGGGTATTCTGTCTAAAAGTGGATCAGAGGGTATTCTGCCTAAAAGTGAATAAAAGGGTTTTGCATAGAAGTGGATTGGAGGGTTATTGCAGGAGTCACAATCGCACTCCACTGAAATCGCAACCGCAAGGGCATTCACACAGAAACGCATGTTGAAATGGTAATACAAAGCAAAGAGATTTCAGCACGAACATGTGTGAACCAGGGGGTAAGAGATATCACGTACCTTCCTCTTCAGCTGTAGAAGGAGCTCCTGTTCTTGTTTCACAGGAAGGACATCACCATCCTTACCTAATGGGAACAGAATAGAACGCTTACAATACTACATTTAGAGCACTTTAAAATAATGCCTTCAATACAATATTCTAAGCTGCTAACTTAGTCTTTTACGTGAACCTGTACTTTGCCCATACCAGAAAAAAATGACAGATTAGCTGTAAAGAAGGTGAGAGGTTAAATTCCATTAAAGTGATACTAAACCCACAAAAGTACAATCAGTCTGTGTATGCAGTAAAGCATGCTCGTTATATTCACTGTGGAACCTAAGGGGTTAATTCTCTGCATTATGTAAAAACACTGTTTGATCCTGTCTTCTCTGATTCTTCCCTTCTTCCAGTGTTTCCCTTTTACCTCCTGCTAAGACATATTGTGTGCACTCTGCACATGCTCAGTTTGGTGTGTATTGCTAGAGAGGTATAACCTATATTAACCCCACCCACCCATGAGACAATGTACTGGTAATTCATTTCTTAGGCAACTAGCGCTGCATCATAGCAGGAATGAACTGCAAGCTTCCCATACTAGGAAATACTGAATATTTGACTTTGTTCAAGTCAGTAAATGGGGCACTGGGCAGTGATCACTATGGGCAAAGTACAGGAGCACTTTAACTGCCTAACTCACAGTATATTTTTTGTCACATCTCTGCCTTCTAGCTATCAGTTTATCCAAACCTGATTGATCAGTCTGTCCGAGACGCCACAGCTCCAGATGATCGGGAAACTGGAAGAGCAGCAAGCGGGAAGCCTGAGCGCAAGACACAAGATGCCGCTGTGAAGGGAAAGACGTGCTTATTATTATGCACTTTCATAGAGTTTAACTGCTTTCCCCCGACCGCCCTATAGCAGAACTACTGCTACAGGGCGGCAGGGCTGTGCGCAAACTATATATATATATATATATATATATATATATATATATATATATATATATATATCTCTATCTATCTACAGTCAGGTCCATAAATATTGGGACATCGACACAATTCTAACATTTTTGGCTCTATACACCACCACAATGGATTTGAAATGAAAAGAACAAGATGTGCTTTAACTGCAGACTGTCAGCTTTAATTTGAGGGTATTTACATCCAAATCAGGTGAACGGTGTAGGAATTACAACAGTTTGCATATGTGCCTCCCACTTGTTAAGGGACCAAAAGTAATGGGACAGAATAATAATCATAAATCAAACTTTCACTTTTTAATACTTGGTTGCAAATCCTTTGTAGTCAATTACAGCCTGAAGTCTGGAACGCATAGACATCACCAGACGCTGGGTTTCATCCCTGGTGATGCTCTGCCAGGCCTCTTCTGCAACTGTCTTCAGTTCCTGCTTGTTCTTGGGGGATTTTCCCTTCAGTTTTGTCTTCAGCAAGTGAAATGCATGCTCAATCGGATTCAGGTCAGGTGATTGACTTGGCCATTGCATAACATTCCACTTCTTTCCCTTAAAAAAACTCTTTGGTTGCTTTTGCAGTATGCTTTGGGTCATTGTCCATCTGCACTGTGAAGCGGCGTCCAATGAGTTGTGAAGCATTTGGCTGAATATGAGCAGATAATATTCCCGAAACACTTCAGAATTCATCCGGCTGCTTTTGTCAGCAGTCACATCATCAATAAATACAAGAGAACCAGTTCCATTGGCAGCCATACATGCCCACGCCATGACACTACCACCACCATGCTTCACTGATGAGGTGGTATGCTTAGGATCATGAGCAGTTCCTTTCCTTCTCCATCCTCTTCTCTTCCCATCACTCTGGTACAAGTTGATCTCGGTCTCATCTGTCCATAGGATGTTGTTCCAGAACTGTGAAGGGTTTTTTAGATGTCGTTTGGCAAACTCTAATCTGGCCTTCCTGTTTTTGAGGCTCACCAATGGTTTCCATCTTGTGGTGAACCCTCTGTATTCACTCTGGTGAAGTCTTCTCTTGATTGTTGACTTTGACACACATACACCTACCTCCTGGAGAGTGTTCTTGATCTGGCCAACTGTTGTGAAGGGTGTTTTCTTCCCCAGGGAAAGAATTCTTCAGTCATCCACCACAGTTGTTTTCCGTGGTCTTCCGGGTCTTTTGGTGTTGCTGAGCTCACCGGTGCGTTCCTTCTTTTAAAGAATGTTCCAAACAGTTGTTTTGGCCACGCCTAATGTTTTTGCTATCTCTCTGATGGGTTTGTTTTGTTTTTTCAGCCTAATGATGGCTTGCTCCACTGATAGTGACAGCTCTTTGGATCTCATCTTGAGAGTTGACAGCAACAGATTCCAAATGCAAATAGCACACTTAAAATGAACTCTGGACCTTTTATCTGCTCATTGTAATTGGGATAATGAGGGAATAACACACACCTGGCCATGGAATAGCTGAGAAGCCAATTGTCCCATTACTTTTGGTCCCTTACCAAGTGGGAGGCACATATGCAAACTGTTGTAATTCCTACACCGTTCACCTGATTTGGATGTAAATACCCTCAAATGAAAGCTGACAGTCTGCAGTTAAAGCACATCTTGTTCATTTCATTTCAAATCCATTGTGGTGGTGTATAGAGCCAGAAATGTTAGAATTGTGTCGATGTCCCAATATTTATGGACCTGACTGTATATATATATATATATAGATAGACAGATATAGATAGATAGAGATATATATATATATATATATATATATATATATATATATATATATATATATATATATATCTATCTATCTATCTATCTATATATATCTATATAGATATATAATATATATGATTTTTGCACAGCCCTGCCATTAACTAACGGTTAGTCAAGGCGATCGTAAACAGAGGTATATGCAAAGTTCCCCTGGATAATCCCACAACTACCTGTTGATCCTGCCACTGAAGTCCTCCTATTCTAGCATCCTGTGATGGGGTGGCAACAATGCAGTACTGCTCTTGAATTCAGAGCAGAGTTGCCACTCCTATGAAGGCTGTGCCTGTTGCATGGCTTGGGATGAGATCATGTTACAAGGGGTGTGGCTATTAGCATTGTCACTGCTGATCCACAACACTGTAGCTTGTCAATCAGCACCCGCCCACACCTAGCCCTGCCCGCTGCTTCCTGGATTGGCAGTATTGCTTTTTTTTTTTACTGAAACCGTTCCACTTTGAGATGCAGTGTCTGGGAGGGGGAGTGGGTGAGACACAAATGGAGGAGGATTTTAGTCTGGGAAGGTTTCCTACATTACAAGGCTTGTGCATCACATAGCATTTATATTAGGTAATTGGCTAAACTGTACAGGAGCCATTAGTTATTACTTTAAAGCGGAGCTCTACTCAAAAGGGAAAGTCCCGCTTTAAGCCTTTGTCCCCAGCTCCCCATTAAGGATTGGCACAATTGGGGAGTGGGGGGGGAGGGGGAGTGGGTACCCGATTTTGACAGGTACCTGCTTCCACTTCTGCTGCGATTGCCTAGGCGATCGGAAGTGGAAGTTTTCCTCCTAGCCTCCCTTCCCATAGTCTTCTGGGACACGTGACAGGTCCCAGAAGACTACGGGGCCATTTATAAAGCGCAGCGCTTCTTGCGCATGCACACTGGGCACCCGACTGTAAAGCCGCAAGCTGTCACAGCTGGGTGCCCACACTAAAGATGCCGATGCCAGGGAGAGAAGATGACTGGTGAAACCAGCCGTGGTGAGGACACCGCTGGACCGAGGGACAGGTAAGTGGCTGTATTTTAAAAGTCAGCAGCTACAGTTTTTGTAGCTGCTTTTTTTTTTTCCAAGTGGAACTCCGCTTCTCCCTTCTGCAAAACCACCTAAATATCTGGTGCTCTTGAGTCCAGAATCATTTCAATATCTAGTGTCCTGCGTGCAGAACCATCTCCAGATCTAGTTCTCCTGCGTGCAGAACCATCTCTAGATCTAGTTCTCCTGCCTGTAGAACCATCTCAATCTCTAGTTCTCCTGCCTGTAGAACCATCTCAATCTCTAGTTCTCCTGCCTGTAGAACCATCTCAATTTCTAGTTCTTCCTCCTGTAGAACCATCTCAATCTCTAGTTCTTCCGCCTGTAGAACCATCTCAATCTCTAGTTCTCCTGCCTGTAGAACCATCTCAGTATCTAGTTCTCCTGCCTGTAGAACCAGCTCAATATCTAGTTCTTCCGCCTGTAGAACCATCTCAGTATCTAGTTCTTCCGCCTGTAGAACAATCTAGTTCAATAACAATCTCAATATCTAGTTCTTCCACCTGTAGAACAATCTCAATATCTAGTTCTTCCGCCTGTAGAACAATCTCAATATCTAGTTCTTCCGCCTGTAGAACCATCTCAATATCTAGTTCTCCGCCTGTAGAACCATCTCAATCTCTAGTTCTCCTGCCTGTAGAACCATCTCAGTATCTAGTTCTCTGCCTGTAGAACCAACTCAATATCTAGTTCTTCTGCCTGTAGAACCATCTCAAAATCTCTTTCTGCCTGTCAGTTCTTCCGCCTGTAGAACAATCTCAATATCTAGTTCTTCTGCCTGTAGAACCATCTCAATCTCTAGTTCTCTCCTGCCTGTATAACCATCTCATTCTCTAGTTCTCCTGCTGCCTGTAGAACCATCTCAATCTCTAGTTCTCCTGCCTGTAGAACCATCTCAATCTCTAGTTCTCCTGCCTGTAGAACCATCTCAATCTCTAGTTCTCCTGCCTGCCTGTAGAAACCATCTCAATATCTAGTTCTTCCGCCTGTAGAACCATCTCAATATCTAGTTCTTCCGCCTGTAGAACCATCTCAATATCTAGTTCTTCCGCCTGTAGAACCATCTCAATATCTAGTTCTTCCGCCTGTAGAACCATCTCAATCTCTAGTTCTCCTGCCTGTAGAACCATCTCAATCTCTAGTTCTCCTGCCTCTAGAACCATCTCAATCTCTAGTTCTCCTGCCTGTAGAACCATCTCAATCTCTAGTTCTCCTGCCTGTAGAACCATCTCAATATCTAGTTCTCCTGCCTGTAGAACCAGCTCAATATCTAGTTCTTCTGCCTGTAAAACCAGCTCAATATCTAGTTGTTCTGCCTGTAGAACCAGCTCAATATCAAGTTCTCCTGCGTGCAGAACCATCTCAAGGTGGAACTCCGCTTTAAGGCTGCATTCATAGTTGAACTGAGCAGTTTATTGATTTACAGGCTTTTATTTTTCATTTCTGAGTGCTTGTATAGGTGATTTTGCACATTTTTGTGGGCGCCTAAGGCTTAAGCGTTTTTTTTTGTAAGCTAGTTACTAGATAAAAATGTGCAATATGGGTATTTTCGCGCATGTTTGCCCTTTAAAAAAGCCCCAAAAAATATCTGCAGACACACCGAACAAGACTCACATGCGGGAAGGTGATTTTTCTCAGTGCAGCCTCATAGGATTTTACTTGTATCCTCTCCAACAACGGTCGTGCGACAATATTGCCATCCAAGCCTGTGAAAAGACAGGACTTGTTTAGAACAGGAACGAAGCAAAATACACATGAAATGAAATAAAAAAAAAAAAAAGTTCTATACCTCCAGAAATCAGAGATGTGCTGCTGTGAGCCACTGCCCGGACGTCACGGCTGTGATGCTGGAATGGTTTGGTGGAAACCCACTGCTTCTCCTCCTTCCCTGCCTGCAGTGCCAACTGCTGGAACTGTAAGATGGATCCCTGTGCAGTGCCCACCACCAGACTGTCTTCTTCCTGAAAAGAAAACCACACCGATCAGCCATAACTGAATAACCACCCACCGAATACTGAGTAGGTCCCCCTTTTGCAGCCACAACAGCCCTGACCCATCGAGGTATAGACTGCACTGAAGGTATGCTGTGGTATCTGACACCAAGCCTTCAGCAGCAGATCCTTTAACTCTCTGTAAGTTGCGAGGTGGGGCCTGCATGGATCAGACTTGTTTTTTCAGCACACCCCACCAATGCTTGATTAGATTGAGATCTGGGGAATCTGGAGGCCAAGTTAACACCTCAAACTCATTGCTGTTCTTCTCAAATCATTTTTAAACTATTTTGGAGTGTGACAGAGCATATTATCCAGCTGAAAGAGGCCGCTGCCATCAGGAAACAGCATTTCAATGAGGGGGTGTACTTGTTCAGCAACAATGCTTAGGTACTTGTTACTTGTTAAGTAACATGCATGTGAATGGCAGGAACCAAGGTTTCCAGGCAGAAGATTGCCGAAAACATCACACTGCCTTCCCTGACTTGCCTTCTTCCCATTGGTCCCATTTGTTCCCCAGGTAAGCCACACACACCCTCTCACATGATTCATCAGACCAGGCCAACCTTCTTTCACTGCACGGTGGTCCAGTTCTGATGCTTGTGTCCCTATTGTAGGTATTTTGGCTAAGGACACGGGTCAGCATGGGCAACCTGACCAGTCTGCAGCTACGAAGCCCTGTACTCAACAAATTGCAATGCCCATTATTTCTGCTTTTAACACCTCAACTTCAAGGACAACATGTTTACTTGCACTTAACCTGTCAGTGATCACAGAGTTATTGCTGATCAGTGTAGATATCAGCCTTGAAAGGTAATTTATAGTTATTTATAGTAACCCAGAGTTTAACAATTCCAGCCAATGTATGGAAAATCACTACAGCTTTCCAGTTCTGGAAAGGTGGTGATTGGTAAGGGACTGATAGGAGTCACATTATTGTTAGCAGTTGCAATAGGTATCTATAGCTAAAACTTATCTTCTACATCAGTGGTCTCAAAACTGCGGCCCTTTGCTTGCCTATCTGGCCCTCAAGGCATTATTACTCGCCCTGACACCAACAATGGGGCATAATTCCTTCCACTCACACCAACAATGGGGCACTAGTCCTTCCACTGACACCAACAATGGGGCATAATTCCTTCCATTGACACCAACGATGGGGCACTAGTCCTTCCACTGACACCAACGATGGGGCACTAGTCCTTCCACTGACACCAACGAAGGGGCACTAGTCCTTCCACTGACACCAACAATGGGGCACTAGTCCTTCCACTGACACCAACGATGGGGCATAATTCTTTCCACTGACACCAACGAAGGGGCATAATTCCTTCCACTGACACCAACGATGGGGCATAATTCTTTCCACTGACACCAACGAAGGGGCACAATTCCTTCCACTAACACCAACAATGGGGCACTATTCCTTCCACTGACACCAACGATGGGGCATAATTCTTTCCACTGACACCAACGATGGGGCACAATTCCTTCCGCTGACACCAATGATTGGGCATAATTCCTTCCACTGACACCAACGATGGGGCATAATTCCTTCCGCTGACACCAACGATGGGGCATAATTCCTTCCACTGACACCAACGATGGGGCATAATTCCTTCCATTGACACCAATGATGGGGCACTAGTCCTTCCACTGACACCAATGATGGGGCACTAGTCCTTCCACTGACACCAACGATGGGGCATAATTCTTTCCACTGACACCAACGATGGGGCATAATTCTTTCCACTGACACCAACGATGGGGCATTATAATTCCTTCCACTGACACCAACGATGGGGCATAATTCCTTACACTGACACCAACGATGGAGCATAATTCCTTCCGCTGACACCAACGATGGGGCATAATTCCTTCCACTGACACCAACGATGGGGCATAATTCCTTCCGCTAACACCAACAATGGGACATAATTCCTTCCACTGACACCAATGATGGGGCATAATTCCTTCCGCTAACACCAACGATGGGGCATAATTCCTTCCGCTGACACCAACGATGGGGCATAATTCCTTCCACTGACACCAACGATGGGGCATAATTCCTTCCATTGACACCAACGCTGGGGCACTATTCCTTCCATTGACACCAACAATGGGGTATAATTCCTTTCCCTGACACCAACAATGGGGCACTACTCCTTCCAGTGACATCGATGATGGGGCAGAATTCCTTCCATTAACACCAACAATGGCATACTATTCCTTCCACTGACACAAACAATGGAGCATAATTCCTTCCACTGACACACAAACAATGGGGCATAATTCCTTCCACTGACACCAACTATTTCTATTGGGCATGGTTTACTACCACTGGGCACAGCCGGCCCCCCTAAAGTCTGAAACATAGTAAACTGGGCCTTTCTTTGGAAACTTTAGAGACCCCTATTCTACATTATACATGCCTCTCCAATATTTCTACACACAACTTTGTGGAGTTTGCCTTCGAATATATTTCTGTATAAACAATCTGTTTCTGTAGTGTCGTCTGTGCTAGTTACCCAACCTAGACATTGCTGTATAAAATTATTGGTGAGATCATCACGGAGACCTAAAATCTATCCTAGTCACAGCTAAAATAACTGGCCATAGCAGCATGAGAGGAAGGATTCATAAAGAAGCCTCCTGGATATGAGAACAAATGACAACAGCTTAAAGGTATTCGTATTTTCTGAACAATTTTACCATTTGCTTGAAAATATTTAAAAAAAGAAAAAAGTGTGAGCATCGGATGTACCTGAGACACCGCTATGCACAGGATATCACTGGTGGCCGCAGTGTATGAGCGGATAAGTGTCCCCGTCTCTAAATTCCAGAATTGAAGCTTCCCATTAGAATCCACGCTGACAATTTCCCCACAGGACAGAACAGCCACCCCCCAGACTATACATTTGCGTTTCCGGCTGACCAACGGCATCCTTAGAACTTGCAGCAGGCGACCTGGGACAAAAAAGATCGCAAAATAGGTCAGTGATAGGCCAGGCATTGGAATATAAAAACAGAATGGTGAAATGACAAAAAGAATCACAAGGTCATAGAAACTTCGACAGCAAAAAGAAACTAGAAAAGCTACAATTTCTGGGGAAATTGTGTGAAGTGTTCTTGCCACCACTCTGCTGCCTGCTCACACACCCTGGGTTCCTATGGCAACTCACTCTACAGCAAGGGCAGAGAAGAGCGGTTAAAAACAAACTGCTCCAACTTGCTCACTTCACTGGCGGTTGCCATCTTCAAAAGGTTGTAGTTTAAAAATTATAAATCCTACACCGAAGAGCTTTATATTGTGAGAATCACAAGACCCAGACCTACATTTTGATGCATAGTATGTCTCTAAAATATTAAAAATGAAGGCACAGTCGCAGTTTAGAAATTGCCCTTCATATTTGAGGTGGCTAGAGTGGAGTTTCAATGAATGTCAATGGGAGGTGTGAGTTGCAAACAAATGGTCATATTGTGAAAACTATCAGGACTATGGCTTAGCCGCGGACATTTTTAGTGGCAGCAGGGATAGCTGAACGTTTTGATATAAGATTTGTGTAGGTGGGCTTGAAAATGAGGGAGTGATGGCAGTTTAGAAATCATGTCCTGATTTTTCAGCTCACACTCTAGCTTTTGTCAGCTCCCACTCTAGTTTTGAACATTCCGCCATTCATTCCTATGGGACCAACTTCACCACAAAAACGCCGATATTTTGTGAACCATTTGGCGAAATGTTCCACAAAATAATAGCACACCAATCGGGAACAATCCGCACGTTTCGGTATATTACGGTCTATGTAGTGTAAAAACTGTGGGAGGAGTTAGGGGGGTAAATTTGGCTATAATAATAAGAATATATATGTGAGATAACAGGAAGTGGTCTTGCCATGCAAGAACACTTAATGAGTTTGCAGCACTGGTGGTATGGATCACCCCAGCCGGTAGGGCACAGCAAGGATCAGGATTTATGTGTCATTTACTGTGTGCTCTGGCAAGTACTAGAGGGAGTTTGTTTTTTTCAACACATGGACCAAGTGTGTCTGCTCCTGTGGGCTCCAGCTGACATTTTGGAGATGACACCTATACTAAATAGATGTTGGTGTAAGTAGATAGTGGAACCAGTACATGCATTCTACAAAGGTTGTGCTGACCAAACATTCCTTTTTTTGTTCAACCAGGTTGAACCTAAAAAAAAAGGAAAAAATTGACCGACTCCCCCTTTTACACTTTCGATGTAGATGGGGGAATTACTCCCACTAAGTTATATTCTGCTGGTGGGGAGCCTTCCCTGCCGACAGATTACAATGAGCAGTGCTGGCGGCTATAGCCATCAGCACTGATTGGTAAAAACCCAACAGGCTGCTTGTACACAAGGCAGCGGAGAGAACAGGTATGCTGAAGGTTTGGAAAAGCCATTAACCATGACATGAGTGGAGGAGCCCATTATGGACCCCAGGATGCTCTGGAAGAAACACTGAACACAACAACCAATCAGATCTTCTCTAACAAGTTATTAGACCAGATTAGAAAACCAAAAATATAACAGAATTGGTTCCTGGGTTCCCCACCTGACGAGACGCTGAACACTTTAATGGTGTTGATGGAGCCAGCAACTATATGGGAACCCGAAGGATGCCAGGCAAGGCACAGAATGCGCTCTGTGGGAAGAAATAACAGGCGTTAGGTCACAAGTTTGTCTACATCCAGCTCCGTCATGTGACATCTTCACATGATCATCCGTCTGCCAATCACCTTTCTGTCGATCCAAACTCTTCTCAAACACAATGTTCTCGGGAGTAATGGTGAACAGCTTCACGGAGCCGTCCTCACAGCCCACCTGAAACAAGAGGAACAGATCACTGATGGCTCCCAGAGGAATGAAGAACTTCAGGAGGAATATGGATCCAAAAAACATGAGACTATCGAGTCTGGGCTGTAAACTTCAACATGAGATCTGTAAAGACCATAAATGAATTCTGTGTGTTGCTGTTGCACTTCATCTATTGTCCCTCAGCATGTGAAACATGAGACTTTCAGAGTCCACATTGAAAAATTTTAGATATATTCAGTAATCTATTGGTTTTTACAGTCATACAGAAACAGCTGTCAAGAAGACAAAAAATATATAATCTAAATATCTTAGTGCAGGGCTCGACAAATCCCAAGCGCCAGGTCGCCATGGTGACTAGAAATTGTCGCATGGGTTCACTAGTCGCGTTCCCATAGACTCCAGTGCAAAGTTGCCTCCCATAGACTTCAGTGCAAAGTCACCTAAAGTAAACATCAATGCAAAGTCGCCTCCCACTGACTTCAATGCCAGAAACGCCTCCCGCTGACTTCAATGCCAGAAACGCCTCCCGCTGACTTCAATGCCAGAAACGCCTCCCGCTGAATTCAATGCAAAAACGCCTCCCATTGACTTCAATGCAAAAACGCCTCCCATTGACTTCAATGCAAAAACGCCTCCCATTGACTTCAATGCAAAAACGCCTCCCATTACCTTCAATGCAAAAACGCCTCCCATTGCCTTCAATGCAAAAGACGCCTCCCATTGCCTTCAATGCAAAAGACGCCTCCCACTGACTTCAATGCAAAAACGCCTCCCACTGACTTCAATGCAAAAACGCCTCCCACTGGCTTCAAAGCAAAAACGCCTCCCCCATTGCCTTCAATGCAAAAACGCCTCCCACTGCCTTCAATGCAACAAACGCCTCCCATTGCCTTCAATGCAAAAACGCCTCCCATTGCCTTCAATGCAAAAAGACGCCTCCCATTGCCTTCAATGCAAAAGACGCCTCCCACTGACTTCAATGCAAAAACGCCTCCCACTGACTTCAATGCAAAAACGCCTCCCCCACTGACTTCAATGCAAAAACGCCTCCCACTGGCTTCAATGCAAAAAACGCCTCCCATTGCCTTCAATGCAAAAACGCCTCCCACTGCCTTCAATGCAACAACGCCTCCCATTGCCTTCAATGCAAAAAACGCCGCCCATTGCCTTCAATGCAAAAGACGCCTCCCACTGACTTCAATGCAAAAATGCCTCCCATTGCCTTCAATGCAAAAACGCCTCCCATTGCCTTCAATGCAAAAAAACGCCCCCCATTGCCTTCAATGCAAAAACGCCTCCCATTGCCTTCAATGCAAAAAACACCTCCCATTGACTTCAATGCAAAAACGCCTCCCATTGATTCAATGCAAAAAAGCTTCCCCTTGACTTCAATGCCACTCTACTCTATCACTTACGAGTCTGAAATGCACTACTACAAACTCACACAGAACCCTTTTCATGATGGCACTCAAAACGCAATGTGTGTTGATTGCATCTGTGTAAACCACCTCAATAGGCACACGATATCTGGCCTGTCATGTGAGTTTAAACACGCATCCAGAATTGCATGCGTGTGAACCAGGGCGGGTCCATTCACAACTGGCATTTTGGGATTGTGGCAGAATAGCAGTGATTGCAAAATGCAAGTTCAGGTGCCATTAATTTCAATGGCGCCTAAAGCATCGTGCGGGTTTGCCGGGATTGTCGTGCGGCAAATAGCATCACGTGAAGCTTGTTGCTCACAAGTTGCCTTGCTCTGGGTGCCGACAACCCACGCTACGCTAAAAAAAACAAAAAAAGAACCCAAAAAACTGGCTCCTAACTTTTTTAGCTGGCTTCTAGATTCAAAGCAAATTTGTCAAGCCCTGACTTGGTGGGATATGGGCTGGGTTCACGTCACTCCCTGCCTGCTCTCTTCCTGAACCTTTATACCAGCCCAACACTTGGCAAAATTGTGGTAATTTCAATCACTTTTAAACACTGAAGTTGCTAAATGACTCTCTTTTAGGAGACGTTGTCACCATCCCTAGAAAAAGCAAGATGACACAATGCAAATTTCGGTACATTTTGTGGAAGGAGCACTGCAGTGCATGCCAGCTTCTACTGGAACATACGGCTCTCCTGCAGGATTGTGGGTTTGTACTTCGGGGACAAGGCCTGTAACTTACGGCAAGTTGAGATCCACAAGGACTTGGTGCGATGTTCCATAAGGGGCCTCCAAATGCGTTCACAGAGTATTTGACGCACAGTCTCTCCAGGTCGTATTCCATGATGTCTCCGTTCAGACCTGCAGAGAAGAGTCGGTCACCGGGCACCCAACATATAGACTCCGTGGATCTCTTCTCATCACCAGGAATGATCTGCATAGCAAAGAATTGATTTTTTTTAAATGTATTTATTACAAGTACTTATGTAGTACCATTAATTTACGCAGCGATATATATATATATATATATATATATATATATATATATATATATAGTGTGGCAAAAAAGTATTTAGTCAGCCACCAATTGTGCAAGTTCTGCCACTTAAAAAGATGAGAGAGGCCTGTAATTGGCATCATAGGTAGACCTCAACTATGAGAGACAAAATGAGAAAAAAAAATCCAGACAATCACATTGGCTGATTTGGAAAGAATTTATTTGCAAATTATAGTGGAAAATAAGTATTTGGTCACCTACAAACAAACAAAGATTTCTGGCTCTCACAGACCTGTACCTTCTTCTTTAACCTCTTGCCGACCGCGCATAGCCGAATGACGGCTTCACCGCGGCCGGCCAGTTCTGAGTGGACGTCATATGACGTCCTCCCAGAACGCACTCTCCTGCGCGCCCCAGGGGGCGCGCACCCGGCGATCTCCGTGATCGCTGTGTCCTACGGACACAGCTGATCACGTGATGTGGTGAAAGGCCGATCCCACCGGCCTTTTACCACGTGATCAGCGTGTCCAATGACACGCTGATCACAGGGAAATGCAAGTGCCGGTTCTCGGCTGCACTTTCCTCACGCTGTCAGATCGTGAGGAAAGTACTGCCGAGAACCGGCAGTTGTCAGAGCGGGGATCGGCACCGATCATCAGGGCACTGATGATCAGTGCCCTGATGATCGGTGCCCAGCAGTGACACCCGCAAGTTCCGCCCAGCAGTGCGCCCACTAGCCCCGCCCACCCGTGCCCAGCAGTGCACCCACCTGTGCCCAGCAGTGCCCCCAGCAGTGCACCCACCTGTGCCACTCTGCAGTGCCACCTACCTGTGCCCAGAAGTGCCACCTACATGTGCCCAGCAGTGCCACCAACCTGTGCCCACCAGTGCCACCCACCTGTGCCCACCAGTGCCACCCACCTGTGCCCACCCACCAGTGCTGCCCACCAGTGCCGCCCACCAGTGCAGCCCAGCAGTGCTGCCAGTCAGTGCCACCAGTCAGTGCCCAGGGGTTGTGCCAGTCAGTGCCGCCAGTCAGTGCCCAGAAGTGATGCCAGTCAGTGCCGTCTATCAGTACCCATCATCAGTGTCACCTATCAGTGCCGCCTATCAGTGCCGCCTATCTGTGCCACCTCATTAGTACTGCCTATCAGTGCCCTTTAGTGCTGCCTATCAGTGCCCATCAGTGCTGCCTATCAGTGCCCATCAGTGCTGCCTATCAGTGCCCATCAGTGCCCGTCAGTCATCAACGCAAATCAGTGAAGGAGAAAAAATACCTGTTTGAAAAATTTTATAAAAGAAACAAATAAACTTTTTTTTTTCAAATTTTTTGCACATTTTTTTAATTTATAGCGCAAAAAGTAAAGCGCCCAGTGGCGATTAAATACCACCAAAAGAAAGCTCTATTTGTGAGAAAAAAAAATGATCAAAATTTCATATGGGTACAATGTTGCATGACCGCGCAATTGTCAATCAAAGTGCGGCAGCGCTAAAAGCTGAAAATTGGCCTGGTAAGGAAGGGGGTATAAGTGCCTGGTAGGCAAGTGGTTAAGAGGCTCCTCTGTCCTGCACTCATTACCTGTATCAATGGCACCTGTTTGAGGTTGTGGACAGGTGTCTTTTATACTGATAACAAGTTCAAACAGTCACACTCCAAACTCCACTATGGTGAAGACCAAAGAGCTGTCGAAGGAATCCAGGCATTCACATTGGCTGATTTGGAAAGAATTTATTTGCAAATTATGGTGGAAAATAAGTATTTGGTCAATATGAAAAGTTCATCTCAATACTTTGTTATATATCCTTTGTTGGCAATGACAGAGGTCAAACGTTTCCTGTAAGTCTTCACAAGGTTGGCACACACTGTTGCTGGTATGTTGGCCCATCCTCCATGCAGATCTCCTCTAGAGCAGTGATGTTTTGGGGCTGTCGCTGGGCAACACGGACTTTCAACTCCCTCCAAAGGTTTTCTATGGGTTGAGATCTGGAGACTGGCTAGGCCACTCCAGGACCTTGAAATGCTTCTTACGAAGCCACTCCTTTGTTGCCCGGGCGGTATGTTTGGGATCATTGTCATGTTGGAAGACCCAGCCACGTTTCATCTTCAATGCCCTTGCTGATGGAAGGAGGTTTGCACTCAAAATCTCACGATACATGGCCCCATTCATTCTGTCCTGTACATGGATCAGTCGTCCTGGTCCCTTTGCGGAGAAACAGCCCCAAAGCATGATGTTGCCACCCCCATGCTTCACAGTAGGTATGGTATTCTTTGGATGCAACTCAGCATTCTGTCTCCTCCAAACACGACGAGTTGTGTTTCTACCAAACAGTTCTATTTTGGTTTCATCTGACCATATGACATTCTCCCAATCCTCTTCTGGATCATCCAAATGCTCTCTAGCAAACTTCAGACGGGCCTGGACATGTACTGGCTTAAGCAGGGGGACACATCTGGCACTGCAGGATCTGAGTCCCTGGCGGCGTAGTGTGTTACTGATGGTAGCCTTTGTTACGTTGGTCCCAGCTCTCTGCAGGTCATTCACTAGGTCTCCCCGTGTGGTCCTGGGATTTTTGCTCACCGTTCTTGTGATCATTTTGACCCCACGGGGTGAGATTTTGCGTGGAGCCCCAGATCGAGGGAGATTATCAGTGGTCTTGTATGTCTTCCATTTTCTAATTATTGCTCCCACAGTTGATTTGTTCACACCAAGCTGCTTGCCTATTGCAGATTCAGTCTTTCCAGCCTGGTGCAGGTCTACAATTTTGTTTCTGGTGTCCTTCGACAGCTCTTTGGTCTTCACCATAGTGGAGTTTGGAGTGTGACTGTTTGAGGTTGTGGACAGGTGTCTTTTATACTGATAACAAGTTCAAACAGGTGCCATTGATACAGGTAATGAGTGCAGGACAGAGGAGCCTCTTAAAGAAGAAGGTACAGGTCTGTGAGAGCCAAAAATCTTGCTTGTTTGTAGGTGACCAAATACTTATTTTCCACCATAATTTGCAAATAAATTCTTTCCAGATCAGCCAATGTGATTGTCTGGATTTATTTTCTCATTTTGTCTCTCATAGTTGAGGTCTACCTATGATGCCAATTACAGGCCTCTCTCATCTTTGTAAGTCTGAAAACTTGCACAATTGGTGGCTGACTAAATACTTTTTTGCCCCACTGTATATATATATGTTGTACATTCACATCAGTCCCTAACCCTCAAGGGGCGTTGATCTAGAACAGTGGTCTTCAAACTATGGCCCTAGGGCCAGATGTGGCCCATTTCTTGCTGCTATCTGGCCCTTGGGCCCTTAAACAGTGGGACATAGTTCCTGCTACTGACAATGGGGCCCTATTTCTCCCACTCACACCAATGATAGGGCCCTATTCCTCCCACTGATAACAGATGGGGCCCTATTCCTCCCACTGATATCACATGATGGGGCCCTATTTCTCCCATTGATATAATGATGGGGGCCCTATTCCCTATTGCTTCACTACCACAAATGATGGGGCCCTATTCCTCCCACTGATATCAATGAAGGGGAACTACTCCTCCCACAGATATCAATGATGGGGCCCTATTCCTCCCACTGACACCGATGATGGGGCACTATTCCTCCCACTGACACCAATGATGGGGCCCTATTCCTCCCACTGACACCGATGATGGGGCACTATTCCTCCCACTGACACCAATGACACCTCCAATGACACCAATGGGGCACTATTCCTCCCACTGACACCAATGATGGGGCACTATTCCTCCCACTGACACCAATGATGGGGCGCTATTCCTCCAACTGACACCAATGATGGGGGCGCTATTCCTCCAACTGACACCAATGATGGGGCACTATTCCTCCCACTCACCACTGACACCACCGATGGGGCACTATTCCTCCCACTGACACCAATGATGGGCACTATTCCTCCAACTGATACCAACGATGGGGCTATTCCTCCCACTGATACCGATGATGGGGCAATATTCCTTTCACTGACACCAATGATGGGGCACTATTCCTTTCACTGACACCAATGATGGGGCACTATTCCTTTCACTGACACCAATGATGGGGCACTATTCCTCCAACTGATACAACGATGGGACACTATTCCTCCCACTGACACCAATGATGGGGCACTATTCCTCCCACTGATACCAACGATGGGGCTTTATTCCTCCAACTGATACCAATGATGGGGCACTATTCCTTCACTGACACCAATGATGAGGCACTATTACCAATGATCAGGCACTATTCCTGCCACACCAATGATGGGGCACTATTCCTGCCACTGACACCAATGATGGGGCACTATTCCTGCCACTGACACCAATGATGGGGCACTATTCCTCCCACTGATACTAATGATGGGGCACTATTCCTCCCACTGATACCAATGATGGGGCACTATTCCTTCCACTGATTCCAATGATGGGGCACTATTCCTCCCACTGATACCAATGATGGGGCACTATTCCTCACCACTGACACCAATGATGGGGCACTATTCCTCCCACTGACACCAATGATGGGGCACTATTCCTCCAACTGATACCAATGATGGGACACTATTCCTCCCACTGACACCAATGATGGGGCACTATTCCTCCACTGATACCAATGATGGGGCACTATTCCTCCCACTGAAACCAATGATGGGGCACTATTCAACCCACTGACACCAATGATGAGGCACTATTCCTGCCACTGACACCAATGATGGGGCACTATTCCTCCCACTGATACCAATGATGGGGCACTATTCCTCCCACTGACACCAATGATGGGACACTATTCCTCCCACTGACACCAATGATGGGGCACTATTCCTCCCACTGATACCAATGATGGGGCACTATTCATCCCACTGACACCAATGATGGGGCACTATTCCTTCCACTGATTCCAATGATGGGGCACTATTCCTCCCACTGATACCAATGATGGGGCACTATTCAACCCACTGACACCAATGATGGGGCACTATTCCTCCCACTGATACCAATGATGGGGCACTATTCCTCCCACTGACACCAATGATGGGACACTAATCCTATTCCTCCCACTGACACCAATGATGGGGCACTATTCCTCTCACTGATACCAATGATGGGGCACTATTCCTCCCACTGACACCAATGATGGGGCACTATTCAACCCACTGACACCAATGATGGGGCACTATTCCTCCCACTGATACCAATGATGGGGCACTATTCCTCCCACTGACACCAATGATGGGACACTATTCCTCCCACTGACACCAATGATGGGGCACTATTCCTCTCACTGATACCAATGATGGGGCACTATTCCTCCCACTGATACCAATGATGGGGCACTATTCATCCCACTGACACCAATGATGGGGCACTATTCCTTCCACTGATTCCAATGATGGGGCACTATTCCTCCCACTGATACCAATGATCCAATATAATCCCATAGTTTGTAGGTGCTATAACTTTCATGCAAACCAGTCAACATACACTTAGGCTCCATGTACACAAGCCAACCCTGACCGCCAGAAAACGCAAATCACGGCAAAACCGCTGTACATCGATTTTGCCGTGGTTTGCATTTTCTTGCGGTCGGCAGTCAAAACGTTCCTATCCTGAATGTGATTCTTCCGTGTTCAGGAGAGGGAGGTTTAACCTCACAGACATGTGGCAGCTCCTAAACTCTGCTAAATGCCTGTCTGTACATGGACACAGGCTTTCATGGAGTGGAGTTTTGGAGCTTTGGCAAAAAAAATGCCAAAAGCTCCTAAACGTAAGTTTTGAAGCTGCTCGTGTACATGGGGGGTCTTAGAGGGATTATTTTTTTTAACCAAAGACATGTAGCAAAACACATTCTGGCCAAAATTTATGAAGAAATGTCACTTTTTAAATTTTTTTACTGGATATATTTTATAGCAGAAAGTAAAAAATATTGTTTTGTTTTTTTTTCAAAATGTTCAATCTTCTTGTTTAGTTTATATTGGAAAAAAAATAAAAAAAAACCCCGATGGTGAGCAAATACCAGCAAAATAAAGCTTTATTTTTGGTTGTAAAAAAAGATATACATTTGGTTTGGGCACAGTGTTGCATGACCGCGAAACTGGCAGTTAAAGTAGTGCAGTGCTGAATAGCAAAACTGGTCCTGGTCATGCTTCCGGAGCAGAAGGGGGTAAATACCTTTTCCTGGTAGTAGTTGGCGGGAAAGTTGTACACTTCCACAGAGCCGTCATTGCGAGCCACAGCGAGCCTGCCGCTCTGTTCGGAGTATGACATGCACCGCACCCCGGATGGAACGTAGTCGAAGAAGCGCACGCGGTGAACCGTGAACTCCCCCATTCCTAAAAAAAAACAAATATGAAGATGAATGTTCTGTGTTCACCTGACCCTCTGAAAAAAGTGATATTGTATACAGCAACCAATCAGAAGATTCAATGTTAGACATTCAAGGCAAAGTGACTGGTTCTCCTGATAGGGTCCCCTCCCCCGTCACCAAACCTGCACCCCAACTGCTGCTGCCCTCAGGAAAAATGGGAAATGGGTACTTCATATTCACTATATTGCCAGTATGGTCGGCCGGCCTTTACACACACATGAACTTTAATGGCCCCCCCAGTCTTAGTCCGTAGGGTTCAATATTGAGATGGCCCCGCCCTTTGCAGCTATAACAGCTTCACCTCTTCTGGGAAGGCCGTCCACAAGGTTTAGGAGGGTGTCTATGGGAAGGTTGGACCATTCTTCCAGAAGCACATTTGTGAGGTCAGGCACTGATGTCGGGGGAGGAGGCCTGGCTCACAGTCTCTGCTCTAATTCATCCCAAAGGTGTTCTATAGGGTTGAGGTCAGGACTCTGTGCAGGCAGTCAAGTTCCTCCACCCCAAACTCACTCATCCATGTCTTTATGGACCTTGCTTTGTGCACTGGGGGGCAGTCATGTTGGAACAGGAAGGGGCCATCCCCAAACTCCTCCCACAAAGTTGGGAGCATGAAATTGTCCAAAATGTCTTGGTATGCCTTAAGAGGTCCCTTCACTGGAACTAGGGGGCCAAGCCCAACCCCTGAAAAACAACCCCACACCATAATCCCCCCTCCACCAAACTTTACACTTGGCACAATGCAGTCAGGCAAGTACCGTTCTCCTGACCACTGCCAAACCCAGACATGTCCATTGGATTGCCAGACAGGGAAGCGTGATTGGTCACTCCAGAGAACACGTCTCCACTGCTCTAGAGTCCAGTGGCGGCGTGCTTTACACCATGGAATCTGACGCTTTGCATTGCACTTGGTGATGTAAGGCTTGGATGCAGCTGCTCGGCCATGGAAACCCATTCCATGAAGCTCTCTAAGCACTGTTGTTGTGCTAATCTGAAGGCCACATGAAGTTTGGAGGTCTTTAGCTATTGACTCTGCAGACAGTTGTGACTTCTACACACTGTGCACTTCAGCATGCGCTGACCCCGCTCTGTCATGTGACGTGGCCTACCACTTGGTGGCTGAGTTGCTGTTGTTCCCAGTTGCTTCCACTTTGTTATAATCCCACTAACAGTTGACGTGGAATATTTAGTAGCCAGGAAATGTCACGGATGGACTTATTGCACAGGTGACAACCTATCACGGGACCACGCTTGGAGTCACTGAGCTCCTGAGGGCGACCCATTCTTTCACCAATGTTTGTAGAAGCAGTCTGCATGTCTAGGGGCTGATTGTATACACCTGTGACCATGGAGGTGATTGGAACACCTGAATCACATGATATGGAGGGGGGGGGCCAATACTTTTGGTAATATAGTGTACATTGTCACAGAAGGGAAAACCAGGACCGGAGTAACAGACTGGAGACGGGAGTCTGCGCTCCCAGGAGGCCATGGCGGTACAGGAGCCAGGTATCAGGCTCCATGTGTCAGTGACACCCAGTGGTGTACATGAGGCCTTGGTGGGGCAGAGGGGCTCCTACCAGGAGAAGCCGGCACTTTGTGTGGAATGGACAGACCTGGAAACACAACAAGGGACATCTGTCTGATAAGAGCTTCACTTCCATCCATCTCTATATCAGAGGTGTCATGGCTCAGTGCTGGACATGTCTGACACCAATGATGGCAGATCTCAGTGCTGGATGCATGTGACACCAATGTAGGCTGATCCCAGTGCTGGATGTACGCGACACCAATGTAGGCTGATCTCAGTGCTGGATGTATGTGATACCAATGTAGGCTGATCTCAGTGCTGGATGTATGTGACACCAATGCAGGCTGATCTCAGTGCTGGATGTATGTGACACCAATGCAGGCTGATCTCAGTGCTGGATGTATGTGACACAATGTAGGCTATCAATGCTGGATGTATGTGACACCAATGTAGGCTGCTCTCACAGCTGGATGTATGTGACACCAATGTAGGCTGATCTCAGTGCTGGATGCATGCTGACACCAATGTAGGCTGATCCCAGTGCTGGATGTACGTGACACCAATGTAGGCTGATCCCAGTGCTGGACACCAATGGCTGATCCCAGTGTGACACCAATGTAGGCTGATCCCAGTGCTGGATGTACGTGACACCAATGTAGGCTGATCTCAGTGCTGGATGTACGTGACACCAATGTAGGCTGATCCAGTGCTGGATGTACGTGACACCAATGTAGGCTGATCTCAGTGCTGGATGTACGTGACACCAATGTAGGCTGATCTCAGTGCTGGATGTATGTGACACCAATGCAGGCTGATCTCAGTGCTGGATGTGGATGTATGTGACACCAATGCAGGCTGATCTCAGTGCTGGATGTATGTGACACCAATGTAGGCTATCAATGCTGGATGTATGTGACACCAATGCAGTGTGCTGGATGTATGTGACACCACCAATGCAGGCTGTATCTCTCAGTGCTGGATGTATGTGACACCAATGCAGGCTGATCTCAGTGCTGGATGTATGTGACACCAATGTAGGCTGATGTATGTGACAATGCTGGATGTATGTGACACCAATGCAGGCTGATCTCAGTGCTGGATGTATGTGACACCAATGTAGGCTATCAATGCTGGATGTATGTGACACCAATGCAGGCTGATCTCAGTGCTGGATGTATGTGACACCAATGTAGGCTATCAATGCTGGATGTATGTGACACCAATGTAGGCTGCTCTCACAGCTGAAAGTATGTGACACCAATGCAGGCTGATCTCACAGCTGGATGTATGTGACACCAATGTAGGCTGATCTCAGTGCTGGATGTATGTGACACCAATGCAGGCTATCAGTGCTGGATGTATGTGACACCAATGTAGGCTGATCTCAGTGCTGGATGTATGTGACACCAATGCCTGATCTCAGTGCTGGATGTATGTGACACCAATGTAGGCTGATCTCAGTGCTGGATGTATGTGACACCAATGTAGGCTATCAGTGCTGGATGTATGTGACACCAATGTAGGCTGATCTCAGTGCTGGATGTATGTGACACTGATCTCAGTGCTGGATGTATGTGAGGCTATCAATGCTGGATGTATGTGACACCAATGTAGACTGATCAATGTAGGCTGCTCTCACAGCTGAAAGTAGGCTGATGTGATGTATGTGACACCAATGCAGGCTGATCTCACAGCTGGATGTATGTGACACCAATGTAGGCTGATCTCAGTGCTGGATGTATGCGACACCAATGCAGGCTATCTCAGTGCTGGATGTATGTGACACCAATGTAGGCTGATCTCAGTGCTGGATGTATGTGACACCAATGCAGGCTAGGCTGGATGTATGTGACACCAATCAGTGCTGGATGTATGTGACACCAATGTAGGCTGATCTCAGTGCTGGATGTATGTGACACCAATGTAGGCTGATCCAATGTATGGACACCAATGAGGCTGATCTCAGTGCTGGATGTATGTATGCAGACACTGGATGTAGGCTGTATCTGATCTCAGTGCTGGATGTATGTGACACCAATGTAGGCTGATCTCAGTGCTGGATGTATGTGACACCAATGCAGGCTATCAGTACTGGATGTATGTGACACCAACGTAGGCTGATCTCACAGCTGGATGTATGTGACACCAATGTAGACTGATCCAATGCTGGATGTATGTGACACCAATGTAGACTGATCTCACAGCTGGATGTATGTGACACCAATGTAGGCTGATCTCACAGCTGGATGTATGTGACACCAATGTAGGCTGATCTTAGTGCTGGATGTATGTGACACCAATGTAGGCTGATCTCACAGCTGGATGTATGTGACACCAATGTAGGCTGATCTCACAGCTGGATGTATGTGACACCAATGTAGGCTGATCTCAGTGCTGGATGTATGTGACACCAATGTAGGCTGATCTCAGTGCTGGATGTATGTATGATCTCAGTGCTGGATGTATGTGACACCAATGCAGGCTATCAGTGCTGGATGTATGTGACACCAATGTAGGCTGATCTCAGTGCTGGATGTATGTGACACCAATGTAGGATGATTTCAATCATCGGTAACACACAGCGGGCCCCCCTCCCTCTCCGGTACACTAACCAGCTTTCACGTTGCTCCTCTTCCTTCACGTGGAGGCTCCCTGAACCCGGAAGCGGAATGACGTCAGGAGAAGCACCGCCCCCGGAGCGGAGAGGCGGGAAGTTCGGGTCCGGAGGTGGAGGGAATCGGGATGGTGCAGATTGTGGTGTCCAGGTGAGGAGAACGGGGGAGGGACGCAGGGCGGCGGGCTTCTCTCCGGTCACAGCACTCAGCCTGAGAGGGACAGACAGTGGCTGTTCTGTAGGGGGGGGGGTCCGTCCTGTGGGGGTCCCTTCAGGTAATCTGTTTTTTCCCACAGTACCCATTCCGCACTGGAGTCTGGCCGGAGGGGGGCGCACTGTGTGAAGGGGAGACTATAGGAGGGGGGGGACCCCGGGGGGGGGGGGGTTGTGTCTGATCCCTGTCCTTGTCTTCCAGAGATGGGGATCCGGGGGAGTGGATGCTGATGGAGCTCCAGGGGGAGATCGAGGCCCGGAGAGAGGATGGACTGACCGGGAAACTGATGGGGGATCTTCACTACACCAAGGAGGTGAGCTGCCCGACCTCTGCACCCTGACCTCCAACTTCTGAAACCCAACCATTGACCTCGACCCCCACACGCCCACCTCCAGCCTCTGCAACCTGACCTCCGACCTGCAACTTCTGAAACCCAACCTTTGACCTCTGCACCGCCACCTCTGCTCCATGACCTCCAACCTGCAACTTCTGGAACTCAACCTTTGACCTCTGACCTCCACACGGCAACCCCTCGATCTCTGCACCCCGACCTCCAGCCTCTGCACCCTGACCTTTGACCTTCAACTTCTTCACAACCTTTAAACCTCTGCATCCTGACAACTCACCTGTGCCTAGTTATGCCAACCATCAATTCCCATCATTGTTGCATATCAGTGCCCATCAGTGCTGCCTATTCGTGTCACATCATCATCAGTGCCCATCAGTGCTGCCTATTCGTGTCACATCATCATCAGTGCCCATCAGTGCTGCTGCCTATTCGTGTCACATCATCAGTGCCCATCAGTGCTGCCTATTCGTGTCACACATCATCAGTGCCCATCAGTGCTGCCTATTCGTGTCACATGCCCATATGCTGCCTATTCGTGTCACATCATCAGTGCCCATCAGTGCTGCCTCAACACACATCAGTGAAGGAGAAAAATTACCAGTTTGCAAAATTTTATAATAGAAACAAAGAAAAAACTTTTTTCTGTCAAATGCTTTGCTCTGTTTTTGTTTATAGTGCAAAAAAGAAAACACCCAGCGGCGGGTAAATTCCACCAAAAGAAAGCTGTATTTCTGTGAAAAAAAAATTAAATTTCATATAGGTCCAGTGTTGCATGACTGCGCAATTGTCATTCAAAGTGCAACAGTGCTGAATGCTGAAAATTGGCCTGGACAGGAAGGGGGTATAAGTGCCCGGTAGGTAAGGGGTTAAACATACCAGCCCTACAACAAGGTGCCTGATATTATCTTTCAGACGAGCACTTGGCCAAAATAGCAGCTGTAGTGTGCCTGTCTGCTAGGGGAGGTTCCGCCATTTTCCTTTACACTCAGCAGACCAGTAGCTAATGCAGGCCATAGACGGGCCGTTTATTGGGCAAAGTGTTGGCCGATAAATTAAAAATCAGTCGGTGCCGTTGGATGCTGCCACCAATGTCCACGAAAAACGGCTGTTTCTCGTGGATTTTCCAGCATGACCAATAAAAAATAAATGAGAAGATGTGCAAAAAACGGCCAACGGGCTGGCCCCACTAACAGCGTGAATATTGGCCGATTTTTTTTTTTTTTAATTTTTTTTTTTTTTTTTTTTTTTTTTTTTTGTGTGGACGAAAATTTGGCTGATAAACGACTCGTCTATGGCCTGCATAGGAGAGTGCAGCAGCCAGCAGAGAATGGAGGAGATCTGCCAGTAGCACCATCAAAGGATAGCTTGCCTTTGTTTCTAGAGACAGCTTGCATAGAAGAAAGTAAAACTGCAGTTGTCTGTCAGAAATGCTAATTCCCTTATGGGTTCTAGACTGAGGGGGGGGGGGATCATGAACGTGTGTTGCCTTATGAAGCATTGTTCTTTCATGCAATGAGCGCACACGACAAAGAGACGATGGTTAGGGCTCATGTACACTGCAGCTGATAAACTGACATTTAGGAGCTTTTCTGCGTTGTTTTCAGCAGCCCCTGAACTCTCCCTAATGTTTTCCTATGTGTCCGTGTACACATCGTCATTTACAGTCATTTCTTTTTAACGCACCAAACTTGCATTCAAGAGTAGATTTTACCAGCGTTTCAAACGCTTGTAAATGCAGTTAACCACGTTTATAAACGTTTGCATTTAGAAGCATTTTTTAACTGTTCCATATCCAGATGCTGTCCAGAGCCTTTTTTCCTCATCAGAAATGCATGCAAAGTGTTTTCCATGTATTCAAATGAACCCGGTACACCAGCACAGTCAGTTCCAGGTTTGGCCTGAAGGAAACAATGGTAGAACGCACCGCATTATGCTCATGATGGGATCCATAGTGAATACAACCAGAAAAGACAGGTCATCTCAACACATACTGTTCTCTCTGCTTCTGCTCTCTCTATTCCCCTCAAAAGGTCTGAAATAGTTAATTATTTACTGTTTTTCAGTGCATTCTGGGCATTTTGGAAGGTCTCCTGAGGTTATCTTAAAAAAAAATGCTTCTAAATGCTCATAAACACGGTATGCAAACGCGGCTAAACAGACGTTTTTTTAACCTCTATTTCCAGCAGTCAGTTTCCATCGTTTAGAAGAGTTTTCCAAACGTCCCGTGTACATGGATTCTTAGAATGAGTAGTCAACTTTTGACATTTGGGAAGGTCTTCTGAGGTTACCTTTTAAAAAACGCTTCTAAACGTAAAAGCGCATAAACACGGTACGCAAACGCAGCTAAACAGACATTTTTTAACCTACGTTTTCCAGCAGTCAGATTCCATCATTCAGAAGAGTTTTCCAAACCCCCCGTGTACATGAGCCCTTAGGCTTCATGTACACAGGACACTTCTGAACAATGGAAACTGACTGCTGGAAAACGTAGGTTAAAAAATGTCAGTTTAGCCGCGTTTGCGTACCGTGTTTATGTGCGTTTATGTGCATTTACGTTTAGAAGTGTTTTTTTAAAGATAACCTCAGGAGACCTTCCTAATGCCCAGAATTACCTATTTCAGACATTATGAGAGAAATAGAGAGAGCAGAAGCAGAGAGAGAAGTATTTATTGGGATTAGCTGTCTTTTTTTTGTTTTTTTTGTGGTGTTTGGATGTGTTCCGGCTCATTTCTGTGCAGAAATGATTGCAGCAATGTCTAACATTTATTTCAGGTACTTATATAGCGCTATCAATTTACCCAGCACTTTACATATATATTGTACATTCACATCAGTCCCTAACCCTCAAGGGGCGTACAATCTAACATATTTTCTTTCATGCGAAATCTCCAAGTATGGTGTACCGGGTCCATTTGAGTACCGGGAAAACGCTTTGCATGCATTTTTCATGATGAAAAAAGGCTCTGGACAGCATCTGGAAGTGGAAGAGTTAGAAAAAATTTCCAAACGGTTAGCCGCGTTTACAAGCGTTTGAAATGCTGATAACATCTACTCCTGAACGCAGGTTTGGTGTGGTCAAAAACGAGTGTAAACTCAACTGCCTGTAAACGACGATGTGTACATGGACACATAGGAGAACATTACGGAGAGTTCAGGGGCTGCTGAAAAAAAAAGCAGAACAGCTCCCAAACGTGAGGTTATCAGCTGCAGTGTACATGGAGCCTTATGCAGGTCATAGACGGGTCGAAAAACTTTCGTTTTAAAAAAAAAACGAAAAATCGTTTGTTCAATAGGCCGACGTTACCACCAACGGTAAAAAAAATTGGCCGATTTTCATCCCGTCTACGGCCGGCATTTAATTACTTCTGTCTTTGCAGAGAGCTCCGCTATTATATTTGACATGAAAAAGTCTTGCGGTTGCAACAATGTATCCATTTCGGATACAGATGTTTTTATTCGGATACAAATAGATACATTGTTGCAACCTCAATACTTTTTCATGTCAAATATAATAGCGGACTGGAATTCTTCTTTTCCTTCTTCTTCTTTTCTTCTTCTTCTTTTCTTTCTTTTCCTTCTTCTTTTTTCTTCTTCTTCTTTTCTTCTTCTTCTTCCTTCTTCTTCTTTTCTTCCTTCTTCTTCTTTCTTCTTCTTTTCCTTTTCTTCTTCTTCTTCTTCTTTTCCTTCTTCTTCTTCTTTTCCTTCTTTCTTCTTTTCTTTTCCTTCTTCTTCTTCTTTTCCTTCTTTTTCTTCTTCTTCTTCTTTTCCTTTTTCTTCTTCTTCTTTTTTTCTCCTTCTTCTTCTTTTTTTCTTTCTTTTCCTTTTCTTCCTTTTTCTTTTTCTCCTTCTTCTTCTTTTCCTTTTTCTCTTTTCTTCTTTTCCTTTTTCTCTTCTTCTTTTCTTTTTTCCTTTTTCTCCTTCTTCTTCTTCTTTTCCTTTTTCTCCTTCTTCTTCTTTTCCTTTTTCTCCTTCTTCTTCTTTTTCCTTTTTCTTTCTTTCTTCTTTCCTTTTTCTCCTTCTTCTTCTTTTCCTTTTTCTCCTTCTTCTTCTTTTCCTTTTTCTTCTTCTTCTTTTCCTTTTTCTCCTCTTCTTCTTTTCCTTTTTCTCCTCTTCTTCTTTTCCTTTTTCTCCTTCTTCTTCTTTTCCTTTTTCTCCTTCTTCTTCTTTTCCTTTTTCTCCTTCTTCTTCTTTTCCTTTTTCTCCTTCTTCTTCTTTTTTCTTTTCTCCCTCTTCTTCTCCTTCCTCTTCTTGCAGGTCACTGCTCACGTGCAGATTTTTTATCGGTAAAACGATCGGCCAATTTGCCCATTATTGCCGGGATAAACAGCCAAATTTTTTCCACTTTACCGATAAAAAAAATGTGCCAAACCCCCGAAAAACGGCCAACCCAATTTTTTTTTCTTTTTTCGGCCGAAAAAATTGGCCGATTTTCGACCCGTCTATGGCCTGCATTACACATAAAAATAAAAGGCTTCAAATATTGGCTCAGTTGTAATACACAATAAAGCCACTAGGTGTTGCCCAGCAACTGCCCTTCAGGGCTCCACTGCCTGGATTGAACAGTTCGGAGATTCTCTGTCTTCTGGGAAAAAGAAAAAACACATTTCTAGGAGTCACTTGGATGTGCAAAATGACGACTTCTGCCACCTCTTGTTCTTTGCAGTATTCCCCATGTAAAATAGCTTTGCTTTCCTCCCGTTTGTTAGGCTTACAATGTTTCCCTGGAGTCGTACCTCTGCCTTTTATTATTATTATTATTATTATTATTATTATATACAGGATTTATATAGCGCCAACAGTTTGCTCAGCGCTGTACAATATAAGGGAGACAATACAGCAACAATACAGTTCAATACAAGAGGGATAGGAGGGCCTGATCCTGGGAGCTTACATCACATGCCTTTCCAGTCTGTGAGCCCTAAAGCTGCCTTGATGGAATATGATACTATGGGGGTTATTTACTAAAGCTGGAGAGTGCAAAATCAGGTGCACTTTTGCACAGCGACCAATCAGCTTCCAGGTTTTATTGCCAAAGCTTAACTGAACCAGCTGAAGTTAGAAGCTGATTGGATACCATGCACAGCTGCACCCGATTCTGAGTGTAGCAGCTTTACTGAATCTCCCCCTTTATGTTAACCCCTTGCCTACCGAGCACTTTTACCACCTTCCTGCCCAGGCCAATTTTCAGCTTTCAGCGCTGTCGTGCTTTGAATGACAATTGCACAGTCATGCAACACTGTACCCATAGGACATTTGTATCATTTTTTTCACACAAATAGCTTTCATTTGGTGGTATTCAATCACCACTGGGTGTTTTATTTTTTGAACAAATTAAAAAAGACCAAAAATTTAGAAAAAAAAAGTTTTTCTTTATTTCTATTATACAATTTTGCAAACAGGTAATTTTTCTCCTTCACTGATGTGCATTGATGAGGAGGCACTGATAGGTTGCACTGATGAGGTGGCACTGGTGGGCATTGATGAGGAGGCACTAATGGGCAGCACCACTGAAGCACCAACAATGTGCCCTCTTTGAACCTCAGTAAGCTCTGACACGATTCCGTGTTACTAGCAGCACACGCAGTGAATGACGAAAAGTGAGACTTCACACCTGTTAACGAGGTGTCTCATCACACAGCAGAAGCAAAAGAATGTCACATCACTTATGCTTTCAATGGGGGCAGTACAGTGGCTAAATGGTTAGCACTTCCACCTGGCAGTACTTGGGTCGTTGGTTCGAATCCCAACCACAGCACCACCTGCCTGGAGTTTGCATGTTCTCCCTGTGCCTGTGTGGGTTTCCTCCGGGTACTCTGGTTTCCTCCCCACACTCCAAAGACATGCTGGTAGGTTAATTGGCTCCTGTCTAAATTGTCCCTAGTATGTGTATGTATGAATGTGAGTTAGGGACCTTAGATTGTACGCCCCTTGAGGGTTAGTGACTGATGTGAATGTACAATATACAGTCATGGCCGAAATTGTTGGCACCCTTGATATTTTTCCTGAAAATCAAGTATTTCACACAAAAAAGGTATTGCATTAACACATGTTTTGCTATACACATGTTTATTCCCTTTGTATGTATTGGAACAAATATAAAAACAGAGGCAGAAAAGCAAATATGACATAATGTCACACAAAACCCCAAAAATGGGCTGGACAAAAGTATTGGCACCCTTAACTTAATATTTGGTTGCACACCCTTTGGAAAACATAACTGAAATCAGTCGCTTCCTATAACCATCAATAAGCTTCTGACACCTCTCACCCGGAATTTTGGACCACTCTTCCTTTGCAAACAGCTCCAGGTCTCTCTTATTGGAAGGACACCTTTTCCCAACAGCAATTTTAAGATCTCTCCACAGGTGTTCAATGGGATTTAGATCTGGGCTCATTGCTGGCCACTTCAGAACTCTCCAGCGCTTCTTTGCCATCCATTTCTGAGTGCTTTTTGACGTATGTTTGGGGTCATTGTCCTGCTGGAAGACCCAGGATCTTGGACGCAAACCCAGCTTTCTGACACTGGGCCCTACAGTGCGACCCAAAATCCTTTGGTAATCCTCAGATTTCATGATGCCTTGCACACAGTCAAGGCACCCAGTGCCAGAGGCAGCAAAACAACCCCAAAACATCATTGAACCTCCACCATATTTTACCGTAGGTACTGTGTTTTGTTCTTTGTAGGCCTCATTCCGTTTTCGGTAAACAGTAGAATGATGTGCTTTTACCGAAAAGCTCTATCTTGGTCTCATCTGTCCACAAGACGTTTTCCCAGAAGGCTTTTGGCTTACTCAAGTACATTTTGGCAAACTGTAGTCTTGCTTTTTTATGTCTCTGTGTCAGCAGTGGGGTCCTCCTGGGTCTCCTGCCATAGCGTTTCATTTCATTTAAATGTCGACGGATAGTTCGCGCTGACACTGATGCTCCCTGAGCCTGCAGGACAGCTTGAATGTCTTTGGAACATGTTTGGGGCTGCTTATCCACCATCCGGACTATTCTGCGTTGCAATCTTTCATCAATTTTCCTCATCCGTCCACGACCAGGGAGATTAGCTACAGTGCCATGGGTTGCAAACTTCTTGATAATGTTGCGCACTGTGGACAAAGGCAAATCTAGTTCTCTGGAGATGGGACTTGTAACCTTGAGATTGTTGATATTTTGCCACAATTTTGGTTCTCAGGTCCTCAGACAGTTCTCGTCTCCTCTTTCTGTTGTCCATGCTTAGTGTGGCACAGACAGACACACAATGCAAAGGTTAAGTGAACGTCTCTCCTTTTTATCTGCTTTCAGGTGTGATTTCTATATTGCCCACACCTGTTACTTGCCCCAGGTGAGTTTACAGGAGCATCACATGCTTGTAACATTCTTATTTATCCGCAGTTGTGAAAGGGTGCCAATACTTTTGTCCAGCCCATTTTTGGAGGTTTGTGTGACATTATGTCGAATTTGCTTTCTTTCCTCCCTTTGTTTTGTCCCAATACACACAAAGGGAATAAACATGTGTATAGCAAAACATGTGTTAATGCAATACGTTTCGTGAGAAATACATGATTTCCTGGAGAAATATCAAGGGTGCCAACAATTTCGGCCATGACTGTATATGTAAAGTGCTGCGTAAATTGATGGCGCTATATAAGTACCTGAAATAAAATAAAATTCTAATGGCACGCCGCCTGCACTGGCAATCGCAACCGCACTGGGAACCGAGGTTCCCATGCAGGCTGCGGTTTGCAAAGAAGTGCAGGGACTTCTTCCCTGCGTGTCCCAGGGCACGGGAGTCCATTCAAATGACGTATAAAGCCATTTATAACTCTGCCCCAAATTACATCACTGATCTTGTCTCTAAATATCACCCAAACCGTACTCTCCGCTCCTCGCAAGACCTCCTACGCTCTAGCTCCCTTGTCTCCTCCTCCCATGCTGGTCTCCAGGACTTCTCCAAAGCTTCCCCCATCCTCTGGAACTTTCTACCCCAATTTATCAGGTTATCGCCTACTCTGCTCACTTTTAGGCGATCTCTGAAAACCTATCTCTTCAGGGAAGCCTATCCTGCCCTCAGCTGATACTGGAATCTTCTACTCTTCCTACCAGTCCAGTTACTACCTTTTGTACCACTAGCCCCTCCCTCCTAGATTGTAAGCTCCCAGGATCAGGGCCCTCCTATCCCTCTTGTACTGAACTGTATTGTTGCTGTATTGTCTCCCGTTATATTGTAAAGCGCTGAGCAAACTGTTGGCGCTATATAAATCCTGTATAATAATAATAATAATAATATATAAATCCTGTATTATAATAAAAAATGAATGGGCTTTTGTGCCCGCGCAAAACACGGCCGCATATATGTGAACCAGGGGTTATCCTTTCAGCGTGTTGAGGTTCCACTGCAAGTGTAACTGAATTGTCTCTGGAGTTCGGCTTTATCATCTCCAGATTTCACCTACCAGATTGCAGATCTTCACACTTTTTAAGTTCAGATCCACTTTAACGTTTTCATGTGTTATTATTGGTTGATCTAAATCACTGAATGGGTTGCATATCTTGGGGATTAATTGCGACTTTGTGTACTTCGTCACCAGGGTGTCCCTCCTCATCATTGGCCATCACATCCTCTATGGGAAGACCGCACGGTTAGAGAAGCCATTCGCTGTTCTAGTGAAGACTAGCAACGTCCACCAGGAGGAAGCTGAACAAACGGCTGTGGAGACCAAATACATTGTGACCGCACTTATCAAGAAGAAGATTATTTTTAAGACGAGGCCAAAGCCTATCATCACCAATGTTCCCAGGAAGGTGTGAGAAAATGAGCCAAACCTGATCGGAAAACACAGTCTAATGCCACATGTTCAGAATCTGCAACTTCTCTGCAGAGTTTCCATGTGTTCCACTTCATGAGCTTTAGCCTCTGTTCATATAGGTAACTTGTATGGAAGAATGTCTGCTGATTGCTTTTTTATGGTTACTTATGTACTTTTGGCTGACTGTACACCCTACGGAGTTAGGTTATCGATGGTTTGGTACATATTGAATGGGGAGCATCTCATCCTGAAGCCCAGTTTGGAGGACACTTGGTGAAATGTTCAGCAAGCCACCTGTTTGAACTTAACAATTTCTTTTTTTTTTTTGTATCTTGATGTCGTTTTTTTCCTGTTTTGATGTAAGTAAAAAATGTCTGTAAAATGTCGATTCTTATTTATATAAAAACATTATTACATTCTATTGTCAGCTGTCATTCACACTTTTCCCTGTATTCCTTAACCACTCCCAGTCCAGCCCATGTACATAAACAGCCGTACAGGAGCAATTCAGGGGCGGGTGGCCGTTTATAAACGTTCTCCCACATTCCATGCCTGTGCACGCTCCCTGGGAGCACGCGGTAGAGCGATCAGGTGCCTGCTGTGTCCTCTGGACACAGCGGAACACTGATCGCTGTATGGGACCTCTGTGTGAGGTCTTGATCATGTGATCACTGATTGGCCAATCAGTGATCACATGAATAGTAGTAAGCAAGATGTCACTTCTGACATCATTTTTACTACGTGTGAAATCTGTGAATGATCACAGAGATCACATGGTACAGGGCTATTCACAACATCTTTGTACCATGTGTCAAGCTGTGACCAATCACAGATTTCACTGTCGGGCTCTGCCCAACGGGATCTCTAGTGGTCCACAGCACGGGATTTCCCAGGACGCGGAGTCTAAGTCCCAGTCTGCCTTTTCACCAGAGCCCCTGATGGTGGGGATGACTTTGTGCAAGACTGGAACCAGGTCGCGCCCCTGGGCGCACCCGGCTATAGTAGAGGGGTTCCGCTGAGGGTATGTGCCCGGGATGAGCCTGCTGTGAAGGGGCTGACGGGTCCAGGTCCGAGCGGGATGGATTACTGCTAGGAATGAGCGTGGTCAGACTAGCCGGGTCGGTAACAGTGGGGACAGGTGCGGTACCAAGCAGCAGGCAAAGAGTAGTCAGGTCACATGCCGGGTTCAGTAACAGAGGGTCCAAAACAGCAGTAACTACAGGCAGAGGAATGGTCAGGGATGAGCCGGGGGTCAGAGCAGGAGAGGGTCAGCATAAATCAGGACAAGCAGAGTTTGGCAACAAGGAAACGTACTTGACAGGAACAGGAACAAGACCTTGCGGCAATGAGGACATTGCCTGGCCGGTTTAAATAGCGCGCCCTGCACCGTCATTGGTGCCAGGCGCGCGCCCGTGTGCGTGAGTGTGCATGCGCGGCCGCCCAGGTCCTACTGCCCGCCCGCTGATGTACCTGGGCGATCCGCGCATGCGCAGATTCGTGCGCCGCGTCGAAGACCGGGATCCCTGACACTCACAGTATTTCTCAATGGCTGCAAGAATGCAGCCAGAGAGAAGGAGACATGATTGCTTTTATACCCATAAAAGTGTAAAAAAAAAAAAATCTTCATCATCCTCCACAAGTAGTACAGTGTCACTATGGTGACAATGTACTGCTAGGGTGACAGTATTTTAAAAAAAAAAAAAAAATATAAAAATTAAAAAAAAAAAGTTTTTGAAAAATTATAATTTTTGGTTATAAAACTAATTTGGGTTATTTTTTCTTACTAAAAAGATAGCTGAATACATTTTGGCAAAGATTTATGAAGAAAGATTATTTGCTAAATTTTATAAGAAAAACACTTTTTTCGAAATGTTTGGACTTTTTAATTTATATAGCAAAAAAATAAAAATCCAAGTGGTGAATAAATACCACCAAAATAAAGTTTTATCTGTCTCAAAAAATGCTAAATTCATATGGGTACAGTGTTGCATGACCGCGCAATTGTCATTCAAAGTGTGATAGCGCTGAATGGGCCTGGACAGGAAGGGGGTGAAAGTGTCCGGACATGAAGTGGTTAAAGGTTAACCTTTTAGCGATTTTCAGAATATGACCTTCTGTGTACAGTTTTATTCCTGCATGACCACTGTCTTAATCAGGGGTTGCAGGAAAGAAAATTCCTAGATTTTTTTTTTTTTTTCTCCCCTCCATCAACACAGTCCATGTTATTTGGGGAATCCCTCCTGCACTGCTATTGTGTTCTGCTGGAAGTTATAGACGTGGGCAGTAATTGAAAGGAAAGCTGGCGGGCAGGTTGTACTGAAGTCAATCGATGGATCGACTTCAACCTGCCCACAGATGGATCGTATCTTGTCTGGTCCTTGTTGAACGGGCTGAGATTCGCTCCTTCTATGGCTGGCTTTAGAAGCTGCATTCTGGTTAGGATTTTGTGCCATTGTTTGTTGGTGTCTCCCTGTCTGTGTTTTATCAAGCTAATTATAAAGACAAAATCGGGGATTTAGCCTAGACAACAAAAACTACAGGCGCACCTCGATTTACCAACGCCTAGGTTCACGTGATTTCCGGTTTACGAATGAAAATCCATTGAAAATAATGCCTCGGTTTACATTTTTTTTTTTTTTTTTTTTTTGCAATACGAAGTAAGTTTACCCAGGATGCATTGCGTCTGGGAGGTTTATAGTGCCAGCCCCGTGCATTTAACCTCCTTAGCGGTATTCCCGAGTGTAGCTCGGGGTAAAATCAGTACCAAAAGCGGTAACCCCGAGCTACACTCGGGCTTACCATGCGGCGTTGCTCAGGGAGTCCCTGCAGCACTTACCTTGTCCTTCGCTCCCGCGATGTGTCCCCTGCAGCATCCCCGGCCATCTCCTCCGGCCGATGCCGGCATCCGGCTTCCGTGTTCCGATCCCTGTGACGTCGGGACGTACAGGCGCCGGAACCGGCGGCAAATTTGAAATTTTTAAAAAATGTCATTTTTGTTAAAATGACTATTACATAGTAAAAACATTCCTGTTTCAATGCATTTCACATACATTTTGTCCCGAGTGCTTTGTCCTGTGCCCTGCCTGCATTTTGACTGTTCTTTCTGCCTGGAAACTTAGAAAAGTCCATGGCGTCCAAAAAGCGTCCCTTTATGTCAAAATCGGTTTTAGACCGGCTAGAGAACAGCGATAGTAAATCAGAACCACTTGCAGAATTGAGTGATGATTCGTGGGGAAATTCGTCATCAGACACTGAAAACGATTTTGCGACTTTGCTCAGCGATGTGCGAACTTGGTGCTTTTTTTCAAATTTCAGTGTTTTTGGTTTGATTATATTATTGAATTAAATGTATTATTATTATATTATTATTTTTTATGATTATTTATTAAATTATAATTTATGATTTCGTGATTCAAATTTTATCATACCCGGGATGTTTACTAGACTCTTGTTCGGACAGATTTCAGTGAGTTATTCCTAAAAATTACAGCCTACAATAAAAAACTACATATTTCCATGCAAAATAATGGTACCGCTTTCAGCACAAAAAAAAACGGAAATAATCATACCGCCAGGGGGGTTAAAGTGCACTTTATAAAGCGTTTTGAACAGATAAGACTTTTTTTTTAACTTTTTTCTGACCTCCGGAACAGATTAATTGCTCTCTAGCTCCCTTGTCAACTCCTCCAATGTTCATCTCCAGAACTTCTCCAAAGCTTCTCTCTGGGACTCTCTACCCCAATTTATCAGACTATCGCCTACTCTGCGCACTTTTAGGCGATCTCTGAAAACCTATCTCTTCAGGGAAGCCTATCCTGCCCTCGGCTAATAATGGAATCTTCTACTCCTCCTACCAGTCCATCCTCCACAGTTATTACCTTTGTACCACTAGCCCCTTCCTCTTAGATTGTAAGCTCCCAGGATCAGGCCCTCCTAACCCTCTTGTATTGAACTGTATTGTTCCTGTATTGTCTCCCATTATATTGTAAAGCGCTGAGAAAACTGTTGGCGCCATAAATCCTGTATAATAATAATAATAATATAATAATTGGTTTTCAAGGCATTTACAAATTTGTTTTGTAATCATGTCCCTGTACAGTATTTATGCCTTTAAAATGCACTTTATAAGGAGTTTTGAGCAGATAAAAGACTTTTTTTTTGTAACTTTTTTTCTGAGCTCCGGAACGGATTAATTTGGTTTTCAATGCATTCCTATGGGAAACCGCGTGTTGCAATACGAAACGACCCGGAGAACGCATTAAATTCGTAAACCGAGGTACGCCTTTAGTTTTTTACGATCGATGTCAACTGACAGTGATCACAAATAAGCAACCATCCTTGATCCACTTTGGAAGATGCTACATGCACCACATCCTGGAATTGATTGTTCTATCTGAACGATGTGTTAATGTAATGTAGAGTTTATCAGCTTAGTATGGAGAAATGCTTTATGTTTTTAGCAGGTACAGAATCGTCCTCCATGATGAGAGAATACGTGAGCTCTATGCACAAGAGATGGTGTCTACCTTTAGATCTGTGCTGTCAGACCCAGGGCTTCAGCTCTTTGTTCGGGGTGAGAGGAGGTAAATGCAGCCACCCTGAAACTAGGTGTTTGATTCCTGTTGAAGAGACTATATATACAGAGGATTGGACAAAAATATGGAAACACTGCATAACTTGCAGGTATGAAAGTGACGACATGTTTCACGTTTATTTCAGGTACTTATATAGCGCCGTCAATTTTACGCAGTGCCTTACATATATATATTTGTACATTCACATCAGTCCCTAGCCCTCAAGGGGCGTACAATCTAAGGTCCCTAACTCACATTCATATACTAGGGCCAATTTAGACAGGATCTAATTAACCTACCAGCATGCCTTTAAAGTGTGGGAGGAAACCCACGCAGGCACAGGGAGAACATGCAAACTCCAGGCACATAGGGCCGTGGCTGGGATTCGAACTAACGACCCTAGTACTGCCAGGCGGTGCTAACCATT